TAATCATCATCATAATAACAATAATGATAATAACAATAATAATAAAGTAATGATTATGATAATAATAATAATCATAAGACGCTGATGGTAATGTTAATGACAATAATAATAGTGATGATAATGATAATGATGATGATGACAGTGATCATGATGGTGGTAATAACAACAAAGCAATACCAACAATTATAATTATACAATAACCATGATAGGGATGATAATAGTAATAACAGTGGTGATGATCATAATTATAGTAATAATAATGACAATAATAATAATGCTAACAACAACAAAAACAGTAACAAGAAAAATGATAATAGTAATGATAATAATAATAATGTTAATAATGATAATGATGATGATGATGATAATGATAGTAATAATAATAATAATAATAATAATAATAATAATAATAATAATAATAATAATAACAATAATAATGGTAATGATAATGATCATGATGATAATTACATTAGTATTAATAATAACAGTAATAACAATAATAGTAATAATGATGATTGATGATGATGATGATGATAGTAATTATAATAATAATAATGACAATAATAATAATAATAATAATAATAATAATAATAGAATAATAAGGATAATGATCATGATAATAATAATGACAATGACAGTAAGGATAATAATAATGATGATGATGATGATGATGGTGATGATGATGAAGATGATAATGATAATAATGAAATAGTAATATTGACACTAATGATACTGGTAATGATAATGGTGATTATGACAATAATAATATTAATGATAATTAGAAAAAATGATAATGAAACAATAATAATGGTACGAATGATGGTGATAATGATAACGATAATGATAATTATTATCATTATCGTTATCATTATAATAATAATGTGAATGATAATTACAATAATAATGATTGCATTGATGATGTTAAAAATAATAATGATGATAATAACAATGATAATGATAATAGTGATGATGTTAATAACAATAATGATAACATTGATAGTGATAATAATGGCCACAATTGTATCGATCATGATAATGATAATGTTGATAATAATAATCACAGTCAAATAATGATAATAATAATAATAACAATAATGATGATAATAATAATAATGGTGATAATAGTATTAATAATAATAACGATAATAATAGTAATAATGATAATGATGATGATGATAATGATAATGGTAATAAGAATATGAATAAGAATAATAACTGTAATATAATAATTAATCATAAGGACAAGGATAATGATAATAGTAATGATGATGATAATGATAAAAATAAGAATTATTATTATTGTTATAATAACAATAAAAAGAAAATAAAAAGTAATGATAGTAATAATAATAATAATAATAATAATAATAATAATAATAATAATAATAATAATAATAATAATAATAATAATGATAACAATAATAATAATAAAGATAATAATGATAACAGAAATAATAATAAAGATAATAATAATAACAGAAATAATAAAAAAATAACAATAACAAAACAACAGTAATAATAATGATAATAATAATAACAATAATAAATGTAAGACTACATTGCAGGTATTATTATTGTTAGTTTTCTTATTATTATTTCATCACCATTATCATCATCTTCAGCTCATCAGGAACGGTCGTAGTTTAGTTTTATTACTGCAGTTTAGTTAATTAATGTGAACCGCATGTAATGTGGAGATATTCATGCTTATTAATATTTTTTCTACAAATAATGATGGGTTAGTAGTGCGATTAATAATAATGATAATAATAATGATGATAATAATGATAATAATAATAATAATAATAATGATAATAATAATCATAGCAATAATAATAATAACAATAATAAAGAGAAAATGCGAATAAAAAAAGAAAAGAAAATCAATCGTAAATGAAACTAGACTTAACAAAGGATCAATGTAAATACCGGTAATGAATATAAGAATAAACAGACTAAATGAATAAACAAAACAAAAAAGTGGAATGTGGAATAAGATCAAACACGCTAGTAAATAGGAGATAAAAAAAGAGATACAGTAAATAGGAGATAAAAATTACGAACGAGCGGACGTAACTTAGAATATAAAGGAAAATATAAACAAATAGTAGTTGCAATAACAGTCTCAGCGGTTGCAGTGTTTATGAAATAGAATAATCAATTAATCAGGTACATTGATGATAATAGACTTGGTCAAAAATAGTTCTCCTCCTCTTCCCCTCCTCCTCCTCCATTTCCTTCTCCTTCTCCTTCTCCTTCTCCTTCTCCTTCTCCTTCTCCTTCTTCTTCTTCTTCTTCTTCTTCTTCTTCTTCTTCTCCTCCTCCTCCTCCTCCTCCTCCTCCTCCTCCTCCTCCTCCTCCTCCTCCTCCTCCTCCTCCTCCTCCTCCTTCACTTCCTCAAAAATAGTAGTTCTCCTCCTCCTCCTCCTCCTTCACTTCCTCCTCCTTCACTTCCTCAAAAATAGTAGTTCCCCTCCTCCTCCTCCTCCCCTCCTCCTCCTCCTCCTCCTCCTCCTCCTCCTCGTCGTCTCCTCCTCCTCCTCCTCCTCCTCCTCCTACTACTACTAATACCCCCCCCCCTCTTCCACAGTGAGCAAAACCCGACCAAAAGATGGAAGTGGTGGAGACCCTGGTCGCCGTTGCCCTCGGGGTGTTGGCGGCGGTGTTCCTCGGGTCGTTGGCGGCGCTGGCTCTCCTGTGCTATCGGAGGGCGAGCAGCACGAAGCAACATCAGCTGTTCTCCAATTCGGATATGAGGTTAGGTTCTGGTTTGGGGGCGGGTGGGGGGGTAGGGGGGGTGAAGGGTGGGGTTGAGGGGAGGGGGTGGGTGAAGGGTGGGTTGAGGAAGGGAGGGGGGTTGGAGGGTGAGGTTTGTTTATTTTTAGTTGTTTTGTTTATTTGTTTATTTTGTTTGTTTGTGTGTTTTTTTAAGGGAAGGTTGATCGTTTATGGTTTGAGTGAGGTGAAGGACCAATTTGTTTTGTTTTTATTTTTTATGTTTTGTGTATTTCTTCAGTTATTTCCACTTCGATTCTTCCTTCTTTCCTACTCCCCCCATTTTATTTCTGCATATCTTTTATTTTTTTTCTTCCTTACTGCTCCGTTTAACCATTGTTATGTTTCATATTCTTATATTCTTTACGCAGACCGGAAGTTGAATTAATTTGTATTTCCTATTCTTATATTCTTTACGCAGACCGGAAGTTGAACTAATTCATATTTCATATTCTTACATTCTTTACGCAGACCGGAAGTTGAACTAATTTGTATTTCCTATTCTCATATTCTTTACGCAGACCGGAAGTTGAACTAATAAGCGGAGGAGACATCTGGAGTGAGTTAGAACTGGACGAGGTTCGACTGGCGCCGCAGATTGACAAGATCCTGAACGACACGCAGTGGGTGGATGATGCTACAGGTGAGAGGGGGAGAGGGAAAGAGAGGGAGAGGGAGGGAGGAAGAGGGAAGGAGAGTGAGGGAGGGAGAGAGAGAGAGGGAAGGAGAGAGAGAGAGGGAAAGAGAGTGAGAGTGAGAGAGAGAGGGAGGGAGAGTGAGAGGGAGAGGGAGGGGGAGGGAGGGGGAGGGAGGGAGGGAGAGTGAGAGAGAGAGAGGGAGGGAGAGTGAGAAAGAGAGGGAGGGAGAGATAGAGAGAGATAGATAATGAGAGATAGAGAGAGATAGAGAGAGACAGAGAGAAATAGAAAGAGATAGAGAGAGATAGAAAGAGATAGAGAGAGATAGAAAGAGATATAGATAGACAGATGGAGAGAGAGAGAGAGAGAGAGAGAGAGAGAGAGAGAGAGAGAGAGAGAGAGAGAGAGAGAGAGAGAGAGAGAGAGAGAGAGAGAGAGGGAGAGTTAGAGAGTGAGGGAGGGAGAGGGAAAGAGAGAGATGGGGAGAGAGGTGTAATGTATCTGCGTATATATGTGCTTTACATGGATAAGTATACTTAGATGAATGTATATGAAAAGAACTCAAACCCCAATGTCATAATAATAACAATAACAATAACAATAACAACAACAACAATAACAATAATAATAATAATAATAATAATAATAATAATAATAATAATAAATCGCTATTACTTTAATAATAATAATAATAATAATAAATCGCTATTATTTTCCCCAGGTGTGATTCCCCACTGCCTCGCCATCCTCAAGCTGTGCCACCAGATGACGGAGCGACTCGTGGCTACGACAATGACACCCATTCATAAGGATAAGCTCCATGATATCATTGAGGTGAGAGAGGGATGGAAAGGAGGAAGGAAGAGGGAGGGAAGGGGAGAAGGGGAAGGGGGAGGGGAGGGAGAGTGGGAAATACGTACTCCAGTGGCCCGCTGAAAGTCTCCTTGAAGGGACCTAGCAGTGTTTCTCCTGGACCGCATCGTAGATATACGGAGAAATCTGTCCTTGTCCAGGCCTTCTGGAGTACTGGCCGGTCTCTCGAAAGCGACTCCACGCACGGGAGATGACACTGGGAGACACGCTGAACCTTATAGCCACCTGACGCATAGATGACCCCTCCTCCAGTAGCTGCGATTTGACAAAGCTGGAGGTAACGCATTGTGCTTGCAATAGAGTCAAAATGATCAGGAAATCCTCAACCAAGAAAGGAATAACGATTCGGCAAGTCAGGAGCACAAAATCGTCGTGGCTGCCACTAGCTAACTCACTCCAGACTTGGGGGTTATCTCGCTTTTGGCAATCCAATATATGTTGTGATATCCCCAAAATAAAGTGTTCCCCTAATTGTTTTGACAATCTATATATATATATATATATATATATATATATATATATATATATATATATATATATATATATATATATATATTTATATATGTGTGTGTGTGTGTGTATGTGTGTGTGTGTGTGTGTGTGTGTGTGTATAAATAAATAGAGAGAGTGAGAGAGAATATGTATATATGTATGTATATATATATATATATATATATATATATATATATATATTTCTATATATATATAAAGAAAGAGAGAGAGAGTCCTTCAATAGTCCAATATCAACGAGTCCTTCCCTTCATTGTTTGTGCTGTGTTGTTTCCAGCTTCACAAAAAGTATATGTATAGATGTATTTCTTTTATATATAGCATGGCTTCAATTGTTACACTAAACACACGGTAATCATTCCCAGTGTATCTTACTGTTGTTATAATTGTTTTTTTTCTAATACATCCACCCATGATAATCTGACATTCAAAAAAAATAACGCATGGATCAGATCAGTTATATAATCAATTCATAAGTTACGCAGCAAGAAAAAACGCGCTCGAATGGCAAAAAATACTGTACAAACGACGCCATTTTCTTTAACGAATTATTTATATGGCAACATTACGCGTCGATGATAATTATTCTCTCGCTGAATTATATTCCAGTCTTTATTTTTTTATTTTTTGAAATATGATTGTGAAAATTATAATAATGAATAGGTAGGGGGACAGAAGATGTGTAAAATAGTGAATTATTTACGATGCAGATTATTCATAACGAAAAGCAGTAAAGTGAACGAAGCACCACTCACTATAGTTATTATCACGTGATTATTTACCCGTTGATTATTTCTTATCACTAAGCAATATATTTATGCAAGTGCTCATGGACCACACAAAAAAACGTGATAGTAAAGCTATCTCGTCTTTCAATTTTATTTATATTAGTTAAACTGTCAACAAATATCACGTGGCTATCCTTAAACCACAGAATATTTGACGGATATTAGTTCTAATAATTATAGAAATTAGTTCACGGGCTTGTGTGTGTGTGTGTGTGTGTGTGTGTGTGTGTGTGTGTGTGTGTGTGTGTGTGTGTGTGTGTGTGTGTGTGTGCACGCAACAACAACTAAATTCCAATCAAAACACCCCTTCCACATAAAACACACAGACATACCAACATCCATTACACCCCCCCCCCCCCAAAAAAAAAAAAAAAAAAAAAAAAAAAAAACGTAATGACCCCTCACTTCTCCCCTCTCCCGCAGGTCACCAGGCGTCTGTCCCCTCGCATAGACGACGTCGCTCGGGCCATGTACCCCCCCTTGGATCCCCGCCTCCTGGAAGCAAGGTGTTCCGCCCTCATCCTTACCCTCACGCTCCTGGCCTGGCACGCGCGTTACCTCACCTCGAACACGACGGTGACACTCATTAATGAGGCCCTGACGGATATGGATCGCCATCTTTCGGTATGCTGGGCGGGTGGATGGGGAGGGGAGGGGGAGGGAATGGGGAAGGGGAGTGGGGAGGGAGAGTGGGAGGGGGGAGGGAATAGGGAGGGGGAGTAGTGAGGGGGGTGGAGGAAGGAGGGGGGAGGGGATCTCTGGTCTGATTCTTTATGACTCTCTTGCTGTCTAATTTAGTCTTTTGTCTTTCTTTCTCTTTCTCCTACTTTGTCTCCTTTGTCTCTATCTGTCTTTCGGTCGGTCTCTCTCTCTCTCTCTCTCTCTCTCTCTCTCTCTCTCTCTCTCTCTCTCTCTCTCTCTCTCTCTCTCTCTCTCTCTCTCTCTCTCTCTCTCTCTCTCTCTCCCTCCCTCCCTCCCTCCCTCCCTCCCCCCCCCCCTCCCCTCTCTCTCTCTCTCTCTCTCTCTCTCTCTCTCTCTCTCTCTCTCTCTCTCTCTCTCTCTCTCTCTCTCTCTCTCTCTCTCTCTCTCTCTGCCCCTTACCCTCTTTCCCTCTCTTCTCTTGTCTCCCCTCTCCCCCTATTTTTTCCACTCTCGTTCACTTGTACACACCCCTGCGTAGTTACCATTAATGTTCGTTCGCGCGTGTACGAATGCACGTAGCGAAAATGCACTTAAACAAAGAACCGTTACAGTGCCTTCTAGTGTTCGCTTTAAAGGCATTCGATTACAAAACACAGTGTAAAATGACACGTATTATTATCGGGCATGTGTCTAGGCATATGCATTAGGAATGTTTTGTCCAGTGGAGTTTTTACCATGGTCTTTGTTTGTTAATGTTTTAAACATGATCTGTATCACCATCACCACCATCATTATCATCACCATCACCACCATCACCACTACTACCATCATCACCATCACCACTACCACCACCACCACCACCACCACCACCATCTTCACCATCATCATCATCATCTTCACCATCATCATCATCATCATCATCATCATCATCATCATCATCATCATCATCATCATCATCATCATCATCTTCACCATCATCATCATCATCATCATCATCATCATCATCATCTCATCAATATTCTATGATTTGCAATACCAATGCTATTACTATTATGTTTGTTGTTGTTATTGTTATAGCATTATTATTATTATCGACAAATGACCAACAAATTTATAATATTGGTCTAATTATTTTCTTGCTTTTCTATCTTTTAATCATTGCTCTTGGTATAATGTGAGTGATATTGAGTAAAAAAAAAATAAATTCAATAAACTGTATATTCTTCTGATTACATTAAGCATACTCAAAAGTTCAGTAAGTAAGAATTCAGTAATAATAAAATCATTAAATGTAATTCAAATAAAATCAAAATATCATCCAATGTAAGCAGTGCCTCTTCATTAAACTCTGCAACCAAAAATAAAAAATCCTTAAAATATCATTAAATACAATCATCAGGCTCATTAAACAGAATTTCAAATAATATCATTCAGCACAATGAAACAGTTTACCTAAAATGTTATTGGAATAATATCTAGTATTATGCAACATAATTAATCAGTTCATCCATTTAATTTTCCAATACCGAATATCATGTACCAATATAGGATATTTAACCAGTTCATGAAATTCATGTCAGTAGAATATCACACACTATGAACCCATTGCCGCCAGGGAAAATGAACAAAAAATGGGGGAAATTCAGTACTCATTTTTTATATTTTTGTGAAATATCTCTGTCCATAGATGGCTCTGCTAGTCCTGATTTCACCTTTCCTTGAATTGGCGGGAAAAAACGTATTTTTACTAGTGCTATGAATATAGATGGTGTTATTTTTAGCAGCAAATTAGGATAACGTTAAATATTTTCGTAAATCGATGAAAAGGGAGAACGGGCGAGACAGGCAGTACAAGTGTAGCTATCTATGTGTAAAAACAATCGAACAAGTTGACCCACAGTGGGCATGGCATGTACGTACATGCCATCCCCGGCGGCAATGGGTTAAGCAATGTAATAACCTATTTATTAACATTTTCTAATATTATAACATCATACAGCATGATTAATGAGTAATTCCTTTCTTCCTCAGGTGTTGCGTGAGGCTGCAATGGCACATGAAACTTTCCACGGTTGCTTTACGGAAGATGCAACATGTGACACTGCAGAATGTTGAAAGCAAGGATGCTACCACACAACAATAGTGTCTTTTTTAATGTGCATTGAAGTTTGTGTACCATTGCTGATGTAACTTTTTACCATACATGATGTAGCTATTACTTACCATGCGGTTACAGTATTTACCATGCATGAAGTCGCTATTTACCATGTATGAAGTTACTGTTGATCATGAAGTCACTTTCTGCCATGCATGTAGTAGCTGTCTACTATGTTGGAAATAACTGTTTACCATGCCTGAAACAGCTATTTACATACACAAGTTAACTGTGTGCCATGTCTGAAGTACTGGTATTTAAGCACCATGTATAAAGTACCTAATTACCATGTCTGAAGTAGTTATTATCATGCATAAAATAGCTATGTATTTAACATGTCCTAGCACTAGAGTAACCTAATGTAATAATATTAAATGTCTTAAGTAATATTTTGTTACCTTGGTGCACTGGATTAAATTTTTACTCTGACACTGCACACAAGAGTAATCCCAAGTATACACTATAAAGAAAGTATAATACTTGGTATAGTTTCCTCCTATTGTAAAAAGGATGAGAAAATGAACACTCTAAAATCTCCTTTAATGACATTCTAAATTATATATAAAGGATGACCAAAATTCATCCTCTGCTCCAAAAGGTGGGAGGGAGAATATAATGTGATCTTATAAGTCATAAACCAAAGGTATGAAAAGTACAGAATTGTTTATAATGCATATTGATCTCCTTTTAAATTACTCTTTACAAATAGCATCTTTTGATTAAATCTTTATTTAATAGGCTGTAGAATGAGGTTGTACAATGATGTTTTGAGGATTGAAATCTATTATTATATTAACCATGATATTACTTTTTGTTGTTAACTGTTAATGTGGTATATTTACTGTTGAATAAGGCACTCGAGAGTTTGTGTATATATATTTAAATTTTATAAATCTATATTTGTAATGATAATCTTATCTCACAAACAAGTACATGTGCAACCATAGCACAAAGGTATACACAGATGCAGAAATACATGCTCACTTATATATATATACAGGCAAGGATATATTCCCACTAATTTATCAGTTCCATGATACTAACCCTAGCTTTTCATGATCACTTATGAAGCTTAACTTATTTTAAACAGTCAAGGCATTTCAAGCATTTAGAGCCACCTTTTTATGGCCACAAGGAAATATAATCTTAAAAAACCCTTAATGACACATATTAACTGAAACTCTAGGCCTTGGAAACGCTCACAGTTTCATGCAAAATAAACTGAATAATGAAAATTAATGCATACAGCAAGTGTATCCAATACAAGCCATTTATTTTATTGAAGTTTTTCACCAATACTACTTACAATAGGTGTCGTTAATGGAGTATGAAATACTTTAACCCTATATTGACAGTGCCAGAATTTTGTTACTCCTGGCAACCGTCTAGCCTTTCTGCTGGGAGATTCGCTTTGTACAGCGGCCCTTCCCACTAGACTTGCCAGAGTGAGTCATAATGCCTATAGCCATAACTGTCATGAGTATATTTTTCATGTCAGGAATTGGTGTGCCCGGCTATAAGAGGATATATAATTAAAATCAGATTATCTCTTTTTATAATATTTTCCAGGCTTGTGCAATGTGCAAGTCTTTTGTAAATAAATCTTTTATCAAAGGATATTCAGATTTTTTCTGGTTTTCCTTATTTTTCTAGAAAAATAATTCCTAACGCGGAATGCTACTGTGTGACTATTGACTTACTCGACACAATAATATTACCTTTAGAAGACTCTGTTACTCATTACTTTTCTTTATATCTTATCATATTTATTAAGACTTGAATTACTGTATTTACAATGAATATGTATCTGAGGACTTAGATACTGGGAAAGGTTGGAGATGTGATATCAATTGAACATATTTGATTTTTTTTCTTCTTACTGTGATATGGTCTCTATACCTATACTGGATTCAGGTCACTATGCAAGAAAAAAAAAGAAAAAAAAGAAAGAAGGGGAAAAAAAACAACAACATGTTATCATCATCTTTATTCTTTCTTATCGCATACAACAAATGCATTACAACTACATCTGATGCATACAAACATCCTCTCAAAACTTTTCCAGGTACAAAAATTACATGAAAAGAGACTATAAAAAGAAAAAAAGAAAAAGAAATAACCGTAATTCTCGCAACACCTGGGATAACTCCTCAGAAATTCTGGACGGATGAGAGGCAACGGTCGGTGAAGAAATGGTGTCTCTTTTTCACTGGGGGAGGTGCGTTGTACACGTCACCCGACTGCTTCCTGGCAAAGAACTGAAGGACTGAGGGTGTCTTTTCCTTCTTCTCTTCGTCTTCATCTTCATTCCTTCAAAGAGAGGAGGGAGAGAGGATAAGTTAATATTCAGAGAGAGAGAGAGAGAGAGAGAGAGAGAGAGAGAGAGAGAGAGAGAGAGAGAGAGAGAGAGAGAGGGAGAAATATTGCAAAACCAAAAAATCTCTTACCATGAAGCTGAGATACACTTTTCCTCGGCAATCTTCTCAGCAGTTGACCACGAGAAACGCACAATGCCGGGGAAACCGAACACTCTGTCAATTGAGTTCATCAGGAAATTCTTCGTAACAGCATCTGGACGCAATGAATGGATATAGGTTAATTATTTTAAGAATTACTGCAGCAAGACACTATAAATTAAGAAAATACAATGATTTGAAGCTGACAGTACAATACAATAGGCAGGTATGTTTTATTTATCAAGCCTAGATAATATAGAGACAGCTTTTTTTTCCTGAAAGTACTCATATTTTTTGAGGGTATGTGCTCCTAGGGTGTTCTCAGACCAATTTTCCAAAAATACATCCTTTAAATGTTTTGTTAGTTTAAACTTTTAACTGCTGCATATGAACTGATGTGTTCATGTTAACCCATTCCCGCCGGGGAGGGCATGTACGTACATGCCATGCCCACTGCGAGTCGAATTGTTCGATTGTTTTTACATATAGATGGCTTCACTTGTACTAAGTATCCAATGAGCCAATTACAGTAATGCCTGTCTCGCCCGTTCACCCTTTTCATCGATTTATGAAAATATTTAACGTTATCCTAATTTGCTGCTAAAAATAACACCATCTATATTTATAGCACTAGTAAGAATACGTTTTTTCCCCCCAAATCAAGGAAAGGTGAAATCAGGACTAGCAGAGCCATCTATGGACAGAGATATGTCACAAAAATATAAAAAATGAGTACTGCATTTCCCCCATTTTTTGTTCATTTTCCCCGGCAGCAATGGGTTAATACATTAAAATCATGAGATAGAATGTATTAACATGAACACATTAGTACTTTTGGTCTAAGAACAACTTTTGATACACATACTTTCAACTAAAGGTATTTTGATACGGTAAACTTGCTTCCAGTAATCATTTAATTTCTAAAATTGCTTACACACCTTTGCTTGTTGCCTACAGCTACTGTCAATTTAATTAACTCTTTTGTGGCTATGTCTAATAACATTTACCAATGATTAATGGTTAGAAGAGATAAATGCGCTAAACATCAAAGCTCATTTAGCACTATGATAAAGTATTGTAGCATAAAGGGTGGAGTTAATGATCATTATAGGATGTGTTAGATGTCAAAGGTTGTAGAATATTGTAGGATAGGATGGCAGTGAAAAGGGTATAGAGGAGGAGCAAATGAAATACAGTGGGATTTGTAAATGGGGATGTGGTTAATCCTTTCCCGATGGGGAAAATGAATAAAAAAAAAAAAGGGGTAAATTCTGAACTCATTTTTTATATTTCTGTGAAATGTTCCTGTTACTAGATGGCTCTGCTAGTGCTTAGCCATAAAGGATTTCACCTTTCCTTGAATTGGCGCAAAAAACGTATTTTTACTAGTGCTATAAATATAGATGGTGTTATTTTTATTATAAATATTATAATTACTATAATGTTATAAACATTTGTAACAGCAAAATAGGATAACGTTAAATATTTTTGTAAATCAATGAAAAGGGTGAACGAGCGAGACAGGCAGTACTCATAACTGGCTCATTGGTGATTTAGTACAAGGGTAGCAATCTATGTGTAAAAACAATTAAACAAGTAAACTCACAATGGGCATGGCATGTATGTACATGCCATGCCTGTCGGCAAAGGGTTATAGGTATAGGGCGATCAGATCAAATGGAGATAGTGTCTGAGGAAGGGAGACTAATACTATAAGTGGAAACTGCAAAAGTGCTATTATGAAACAATCAAAGGGTAATACAGTAAGAAACAATAATTGTTGAAGTAGAAGAAGAATCCTGAGAACAAAATAAGGGAAGAGGGGAAGGTGGTGAAGTACTGGTAAGAATGTCAGGAGGGGAGGGATCCGGAGAAGGACATTGTTGAGGTATAAGGGAGTCATGTGAGCATCCAAGTGGGGGTGATAAGGATAATGAGGAAGAAAGAGGGAATGGCGATGCACATGATGGAGATGAGGATGTTTTTTTTTTTTGGGTGAGTGGGATAAAAAGGGGTAGGGGGAACTTGAGGTAGAGGAGAGTGGATATCGGCAAATACTTTTAATGTAGAGCGTATAGGAATAGAGTGATTAGAGGGTGGGTGAGGGAGTGAATTATTCTCCTGAGTCATATTTAAGAACTTTTGGATGTCTTCAAGAGTTTCTGGAGGGGAGTTGGGTGGGGAGGTCTGTGAAACAAAGGTTTTCTTATGAGGAAGAGAAGAGGGAATAGAGGTCTCAGAGGGGAAGTAGAGATAGGTTGATTTGGAGTAGAGGAAAGAGATACTGGAGGAGATGTTGAGAGTTTTTGAGAAGATAGGAGGGGAGTGGTAGAAAGAGAAAAAAAAATCGTCTGTGTACTTCTTGTCTGGCCTAGTGAGGCCTAGTTTAAATCTGAGAACTGCTTCCTCAGATCTGCTTGTAGCAGGGCAGCATCTCTAAAATACATTATGGAAGCTACCACAATAGGCAAACGTGCATGACTGAGCAGAGCAATTTGAATTGTCATGACCAGGTTGGGCACATAGAGGGCAGCGGGCTGTGGAACAACAGTGTTTGGCTGGGTGGCCAAAATGTCAAAATTTCTGACATTGACGGGAAAGGAGTTGATATGGTTGGACAGGGCAGGACACTCAACCAATATGAACTTCATGGTGGCCATGTCTATGGAAGCTCATCCTGGCAAAATTGGTGTAAGACTTACATTGACCTCTGGGAGGAATAATGTAGCACTGAATTGCCAGTGCATCATAGTCAATGAGGCATGCGAGCAAGTAATTTTCACAGACTGACCAGTCCTTGTCGTAGATAGGACAATCAGTTAGAGAGATGGAAACAGTTCTGGTGCAAGTATTAAGGGAGGAGTGATGTTGGGCAGGAATAGGTTTGCCAGTGAAGTCAGTCAGGAAAGACAGTGCATGAGTTTAGGACTCAGATGTAACTGTGACAACGCATGAATGATCAGAACGACTGCAAAAGGAAACTTTGTCTACCTGTTTTAGGAAACATTGTTGAAAGAGAAAGATATTGCCAGAGTATGGGGCTGTAGGGGGAATCACAAAGAATTGATCCCACTTGGCTGGGTCAAAAAGAGTACTCAAAAGGTTTGTAGAGGTGGAAGCAGTAGAAGGACGAGGGTGAGAGGAAGATGGGGTGGTACGAAGAGAGGTAGTACTGTTGGAAGGAGGACAATAAGGATGAAGAGTAGTAATAAGGGGGGTGGGGGTAGACAATGAAGAAGGCTGTTGAAGATGGAGTGGAGGATGGTGGGAGAGAGGAAGGGATGTATTCTGATGCATGAGTAATGACCTGTGCAGATAATTTGGAATGGAAAGAGTTGACTGCAAACATCGAGGAGAGGGTATTACTATCAGTTGGGGCTATGGTCAAAGGAGAGGCAGGGGTTGGGAAACCAATGAAATCAAATCTAAATAGGCTAGTTGATGAAGGGGCAAGCCTTTACACCCATAATAAGGGTAAAATGTCTTCATTACTGGTCATGGTGAGCCTGAGATAAATGGGGAGAGGAAACCCCATAAGAGGTAAGGCCTAGACAATTAACCAAGGGAATACTGTGCCCATGGCTCCTGGAGCCATTCAGGACTGACACAAAGCCAGCCTTTCAACTTTTCAGCATGGCTTTCACACCTTATGGAGTGGTCAGAAAAAGGGGATGATGAAGAAGAGAAAGAAAGAAAAGGGAGAAAAGAAAAGAATATGCAAAATTGGTTGAGGCAAGAGCTGAGGTCCAAGACTGGGGTGATCCCTTAACCCCTTGGTGCCGGGTGACGCCGATCGGCGTGTACACAAAGAGCTCGAAAGCTGGCGTGCGGCCGAACAAGCCGACGGCGCGCTAAAGCGCGGCGAGCCAGTGATTCGGGATGATGTCCCCTACTCACGCGCTCAAAGTCGGCGTGCCGCCTTTGTTTGTTTAAGTGAAGTTTTTTTTTCCTTTTGTACACCCGGCGCCATTGGGTTAAAGTGGGCCTTAGTCTCTGTCTCCTAAGCCCCCTCACAACAACAATGGGCTGGGATATAACATGGCTTGGATTTATCAAGCCATGTTATATCTTTATCCTCCTCCTTTGGAGAAAAAGCTTTCAAGAAATATGGTAAAGCACACTACATTAACCCAACAACTGTTTAGCTTTGATTAGTTTAAATG